AGAAAGTATATTAAATAAAATTAAAGATGTTTTAAAAAAAAAATAGACAAAAAAAATTTTTTTTAAATATTTTATTTTGTTTAATTTGATTAGTTGACCTGAATTTTATCAGGTCAGATCATAAGCTTGACCTGACCTGATATTGACCTGAAAATTTGTCTATCTGACCTGGATTTTTCAGGTTGGGTCAGATTGGATCACAGGTTGACCTAACCTAATTTGGAGCTCTATAGCAAATATATATTTTAAGTGTCTTACCCATAAATTACATCAGCTGCTTCAGCATATTTAAAAAGTTTTCTTCTTCAAGTTTCTTTTTATCATCATAATTTGTAAGAGATTCTATAAATTTAACAATAACTGGATTGCAATCATTGAGCTATTAAGAAATCGAATACTTTAAAAGATTATCTAAACTAAATTGCCTAATCATTTATTAAATTGACAATATTATTATATACATTTTTGCATTTTATTTGAGTAATTTCTATTGCAGCTATAACCTGTTTTGACTGATAATCAAATCAAGTATCCTATTGTTCCCTTAATACTTGATTTTCAAATAATAAATCCTTAATTTGAGATTTTAATTCATTGATTATTTGTCATTAATTATTTACCAATATTTATTTATAAGTTTAACGTCTTGCTGCTGTTGAAATTCTAAAACATATAAATCCACTTCATTCTAAATTAATTGTAATAAAAAGCTATCTATATCTGGATATGATAAAGAAACTTGAATTTCAATTTTATTGATAGCTTTTAATTGAGGTGTATTATTATTAGCTATTGATAGTTATGACAATAGTATGCTTAATTGTTTGTGTTAATTTATATATATAGATTTATTTCCTATTCTTAAATTAAGAAGATAGTTAATAGTAATTATTTGATTATAATGTTATTTACAGAAAGAATAATACTTCAAAGATTCATTTAATAGTATTAATTCTAGAAAATATGCAAAGAGACTTATCTTATTTAAATGTTGCTTTTTCTGTTGCATACTATTATTGTTATTCCTATTTGATTTTACATAGTGATAATGTGTTTGAACTTAAGTATATCTCAGTAAGTATAGTAAATAAATATGGTAAGATATTGGCTTGTAATCTTACTTCTGCATTCACTAAAGTCAAAAAATAAGCAAGTATTAGTTACAGTTCTTTACACATTTTAAATAAAATAAACTCATAAAATACAAATTTTGAGGTAAATAATACTTCAGTCAGTTTTGTGGATTATGAATAAAGGTTGTGAATTATGAAATCATACACTTAAATGTATTTATTTCAAAATTACATAAATTACTAATATGTTAGTATATAATTTTCTAGATGAAAGGATCTATAAACCTATAGATTTTAAGAACCAATCAAAAATTTTCAAATAACTAATATTCTTTAGTATTTTATTACACAAAATTTTTTTTTAGAAATCTTTTAGATTGTATTATGATTGGTTAATCTAATAATCATATGAAAGGTAAAATATTTAAGAATACCTAATAATTATATCATATGTATTATTTCCTTAAGTTATTCTTTAGATAGAAATTTATTATTTTTCTTTTTCTTTTTTTTAGGAAAATTCTCATTTTGAAAATAAGATAAGTAAATCAGAAATAAGTTTTGGGATAGATATTTCTTTCTTTTTCTTGTTTTTTAAAAAAAAATTATTTTTGAGCAAATGAGACTTTTGTAATAGAAGGGGAGAACTACCAAAAAAATCAAAAATGAGTTAATATTAAATTTGAATATAATTTAACATAAAAATCATATTTAGCATATAAAAGTAAAATTGATTTTTTTTAGCAATTTTCTTCTTTTCTATTGCAAAGATTTTAAATTGTTGGTAACTTTCTAAATAAAAATTTATCATTTTCCTTTCTTATTTTTTTTTTAGAAAATTTTTCTTATTTTGAAATTAAGATAAGCAAATTGTTAGTGATTTTTTGGTAAAAATTTACTATTTTCCTTTCTTCTTATTTTTTTAGGAATACACTATGATAAGTCAATTGAAGATAGAATTTTTGATTCATTTCTTTATTTATTTTATTTTTTATATATTTCAAAATGTTTCATTTTAAGAAATTTGAATTTAATAAATATATAAAAAATATAAATATAAATTTAATAAATTTAAATAAATTTAAATGTGTTATATTAATTCTAATTTGCAATTTGTGATTAATTTTAAATTGTTGAATTAGATTGATTTTTGGTAAATTGTATCTGATTTGTGTCTAATTTATGCTTGATTTGTGGTTGATTTTAAATAGTTGAATAAGATTAATTTTTGGCTGAATTGTATTTAAATTGTAGCTAAATTTAAATTAATTTTAGGCTTGATTTTTAGGTCAAATTGTCTCTGAATTATTATGTCTTAATTGTTCTATTGATCTTGAATTGTGTCAATAAAAATTAAATAAAATTTATTACAATTCAGCTATAATTTAAATACAATTCAGCTTAAATTCAGATACAATTCAGATATTTAATTATTAGCTGAATTGTATCATTTCGACTAATAATAGAGAAGTGATTAAAAAGATTTTGATTAAAGAATACAAGAAGTATTTTAGAAAATATAATAAAAAAATAAATAGATAATTCATTATAAAGGAAGAATTAAGAAATAATTTTAAATCATTTATTAAAAATTATAAATCAATCTTATTGATCTTTTTTTTAATAGCAGTAAGTAAACATCAAAGCTTTTGCAGAATGTTAGTGTCTAATATCAAAAATACATTATATTACATTTTTAATAGTTATAACCTTTTCAAAATTAATGCTAGTGCAAAAACTTTACAAATCTAATAATAAAAGAATAACCTAACTGTTGGTAAATGCTTTAATAACTTCTTTAATGTAGATAAAAGAATCAGATACCTTTATGAATCAGATCATCAATAAAATATGATTTAGAAAAAAATTTATCCTGAATATTAAAATCACACATATAGGATATTTTTAGATCCTACTAATTAAGATATAAAAATTTCTGAAAAATTTATGAAACAAAAAGTTATATAAAATATGGTAAGCTTTATAAACTTGCATTTGCATAAAATTTAATGCAAGTATTTAAACTTATTACTATTATATATTATTTAGCAAAGAATTACAAACTGAAAATTTTTATATTTTGATGAAAATGATAATAATGATGATTTTAATGATGATTTTAATGAAGTAAAGATAGAAGAAGAAGAAAGAGAAGAAATAATGATGAAATAATAGAAAGTAATAAAAAAAGTAATAATAATACTAATAATGATTATTAAAAAAATTTATAAATTTTTTTTCTTTTTCTTTTTCTTTTGTTATTATATTAAAAAATAATTTTGCATTTAAATATGTAAATTAGCAATTTTTTTTCTTTTTTTCTTTTATATTTTATATTTTTAATAAAATTTTTGTGTAATTTATATTAAATATTTAAAAAAAAAAACATTATATTTATTAATTATTAATTTCAGAATTTTAAAATAGATTAATCAAAATTAACTTGATCATATAATATAATAAAACAATATATATATATATAAAAATAAACAAAAAAAAAAATAAACTATTTATTTTTTTTATTTTTTAACAAAATTTCTTATTTATTAAAAATATTGGTCATTTATTAAAATATATATTTTTTTGTAAGTAATCATAATTTCAGATTTTACAAATTAACCAATTAAAATTTATTAGATTATAATAAAATAATAAACAAAAAAAATCCTTTTTATTTCTTAATGAAAGTTATTCAATTAATATGAAAGTCTGTTATCTTAATATTAATATTAACAAATACCTTATTGTATTTCTACTAAGTGTTTTTAATTCTCTACTAAATGTCTCACTTTTTCTTTTCTTTTCTTTTCTACTAATTTTCTCTCTTTTGATTTCCCTATCCTACTAACTATCTTTCTTTTACTATCTCTAATCTCACATGTTTTATATAAGTGTTTTTTAAAGTAAAAATAACAATATAAATATCTATCACTGAGTAATAATTCAATTGATCATATAAAATCCCAATTGGTCAATTATCATAAATTTTAACTATGCTCTTAAAAAGGACTTTCAAATGTTTTTGCAATTCATCTGACAAAATTCAGAATCCAAGCCAAGGAAAACTTTATTTTTTAAATATTTCACTATTGCATAAATACAAAATAATATTATTATTCATGAAGAAAGTTTCAGTAAAACCCACTAAGTATGCCTTCGACTAAGTGATTCTATTTCATATGGAAATATGTTTAGTTAAAATTATGTTAACTGATGCATTTATCAACATATTGTACAATAAAAATTTGTTTGATCAAGATAAAATAATAAATAAGATATTAGTTTCTTAAACTTGATAATTTTTTTACATTGGTTGCTTCTGAGTACTGGTCTATTCTTCTTTTCTTTCTATGCTAAATTAATCTAATATGTATTACATTAATGCATAACTATAATTATAATAATTTTTATAATTAATTCGATGTGAACATATCACATATAGATAAGAGTACTTACTGCACATTTTATTACCATCTCATATAACCACACAAAGTTAGACATATTAACCCAATCCTTTGGTAGACCAAAGTTATCGATTTCGAATAATCTGTGTGTGCCTGAAAAGTTGAATATATTAATTTATAGGCTGTGTACAATATTCAAAACCAAATTTATATCACATACTGCAAAAATCCATCATAGTCAATGAGACCTCAGTTTTGAATGCAGTAATGCTATATGTTTTCAAGTTCATAAATAGTTGTCAATGAGCATCAGCCTCTGAAATGACAATATGATTATAAAGTTCTGCCATGCTTTTGGCATTTTTTACATCATCATCAACAATTTTTTGTTGTGATGCTCTAGATCTCGCTCCTTCACCACAGATAATGGGATAATTAATGAAGTCATTCAGAAATCTCACACCGTCAATTCATACTTTAGTTTTTAGACCTTTCAATGGTATTTCACTACTATACAATGCAAAGCATCTTTAATCATCTATGCGATCTATGCAATAAATGAAAATTCAAAGTAACTTATTATATATAATTGACACTCATAAAATTCACAATGCTGAGTCAATAATTGGATGTATAAATTAGTTCAAGTGCAGTTCTCTAGAGTTGTTATATCTCTCAATGGGTTAAGAGCTGTTAACAAAAATACGTTTAAGCTGTAAAATAGTTATTTGATTAGGATTTATCAGAAAAAATTACAAATTCCTGTACTTACAATTTTGGCAACATTTCTTTCATTAATTTTTTTGTATTTTCTATTATTTCAGAATCGTTATTATTAGTGATAGGATTGTTAAGAGTATCATCCCAGCCTCGAGCACTATGATCCTTATTGAAAAACATTGTAAGATATTTGTGGATTTCATTTATAATGTATTTATTATCAATATGATCAAAGGTTTCATGTAAAACATTTTTTGCAGGTCAGAATCCAGAGATAGTGAAAATTTCGATTTTGAACATAGATCCATGATAAGCATTTTAGGAAAGTTTTAAAAAAAATCCATGAGTTCCTTTTCAACTTTTGATGCTATTATTGTGTTTTTCAGGATACTCTTGATACATATCGTCTATAAAAATAAACAAAAAATCATCTTGTTATTAAATTATTAATGGAAAATATCAACAGAATAAAACTAAACTAACTTTCTCATTTTCAACATCTGCTTGAACTTCTTCTTGTGTATCATCATCCTGTGAGTTTGAGTCATTATTAAAATACTGTGAATCGAAAATATGCATGATTAATTCATATCCAATAGTTAAAAATGAGATGATAATACTTTTATTACAACTTTGGTGGGTAATATTAATACATTATCCTTGTCTGTTGCATTCAAAATTGCAGAAAATAGAAGTTCAACTAGGTTTCCCTATACAGACAGATAGAATGTTTAAAGATGAAAATGTTAAATTGATTTATTCCTACTTTAGAAAACTCACTGTTATCTTCACTAGACTCCTCTATAAATTCTGACATTTTTTGAGATGTAAAGTTATAATGTAATATATCTGTTTCTAATTTCTGTACTCTTTCCGCAAATTGCAAGTTAAAATTAGCGATTATAGAATTTATGATACCAGCACATGCAATAATCTAGAACTGAAGCACCTTTAAAGCTTTTATTTATATAAGTAATTCATTACATAGAGCAGATATACAGCCTGGCATTCCTTTATAATTGGCTTTCTTAATGTTTTTAAGTAAATGTATCCAATCTTCATAAATTTGTACTTAGGTAAAATCTCACTTTTGTTTTTCAGACAAAAATTAAGATAGTGTTTAAGTTACCAGTATCGAGCTTCAACCTTTTTAAAGTAATCATTTATAATCATTCAATCTTTACTGTCTAGCAACATATAGCATATGTATTTTATTGTTCTTAAAGTTGCTGTCATATTTGGGAAAATCAAATTTATAATAAAGTAAAGTAAATTAAGTTATGCATTCAATTTATAATCTTTATGCTACATTTTGATTGGCCATTCTTTTATTGATCACTATATTTAAAACCATATGTCACTTTTTTGATATTGCTTAGGATGTCAACTATACTGAAGTTCTTGTATCAGCTGGTCAATCGGTGGTAAGAACTTCTCTTGTATTTTTAGATATTTAAGAGAAGCTATACTTCATGTCAGCCAGTTAATCGGTGGTAAAGTAATGAATTGCTTGGTAGTTAACAACTGTTCACGTCAGCTGGTCAATCAGCGATGACAGTTGATTCACTAGGTATTCAAGTTATCTCTTGATAATTGCCAGCCTCTTTTTAAATCTGATATGAGCGAAACATTTTTATAAGAAAAATAGGTAGATAAGTGATAATATATAATATAATGCAGAAATGCAAGCGAAATACAGTATATATGTCAGTCTTGGCATCAAGTTTATTATTTTGCTCTCTTATGTTTTCTGATAAATTTCTACAATTAATTTATTTTCTGTTATTACTAACTACGAGATTCTTACACTCCCTTCTATAAACACCAGATTTTCAAATCCACTCATATATACACCTATATACAGTGTTGAAAAATTTGTATGTACTAGGTAAATTTGTCACTGTTATTATACTATTTAAGTTTACTAAACTGTACTAAATTGTACTGATTACACTAAACTGTCAACCCTAACAATTTCACATACTGGATATGATAAAAGTTGATTTTTGAAAGAGAACATCTGAGTTTAACAACTTATAGCTAAGTTTGGATATTAGCATTGAGGTAAAGAAGATACTTTCAAATCACTCTTACCTTTTTACAACTATTCTATTCTGTTTCATTTGTAAGAAATTTGTTTTTAATAAAAGTGTTTCGATATTTTTTATCATTAGTATGATATTTACACTAAAAATTAGAATCAATTGCTTATTTATTTGATATACAGATGTTGTTTAGGCATGTGATAAGATTAACTATGCCTATACTACGTGTAATACCTCAAAATGCTGATTTATTACAAGAAGATTAATTAAATATTGATTAGCATATACAGATGATCTCAAATAGCTAATGCGCATAATCAAAAATACCATTTATTTGCATTTGCAAAATTAATCTGATGATTTTATGATGTTTTTGATTGATGATTTGATATAGCGGTAAAGATTTATATTATTAGTTTCGCTTAATTCTTGCTTTACTGTACGAGGAATATAAAAAATAACTATTTAGCGTCTCACTCTATTTTATATGTTTTATAGTGTATCTAAGAATCTAACTTTGAAGAAATTACACAATATGATCTCATTGATAGTTCATAAACGCAGCATTCAGGATCTCAACTTGATATATATTGGGGTGTGTGATGTAATCAAAACTAGGTTGCATAAAAAATATTATTATTATATAACAATAATACAAATATAATACAAATTAAATTTTTAATTTAGCAAAGCTTTTGCTTGAAAAGTTTTGATGCAGTATTAGGTTCAAATATCAGAGGTTGCATTTCTTAAAGATCCTTTTTATCTTATTTCTATTTCTTTCAAATTTCTTTTAACTTGCCCAAAATTTTCTTTTGAGATTTTATATGATAACAAAAAGTTTTAACTGTTTAATTGACAATGTCTGTATTTTCAAATCCAATTTATTAAAGAGTATCTCAACTTTTTGTTAATGAATAACAATATAATAAATTTGTTTTTATAAATGGTTGAAGATATAATATAACTTTGAATCATTACAAATGCAGAAATTTGTAGATGCAATTAATTTTGCTTTGTCTCTTTTAAATTGATAAATTACCAATGTTAAATAAAATCATAATGAAAACCACTTACTTTTGAAAAGATCTAAAGCATTTGTAATTTCATATTCTAAATTGTTAAAATGAATTTCAAATTCTTAATTATATAAACAAATTTATAAATTTTACAAACTAATTAGAAAAAATATATTACAATCTTTAATAAGGTTTTGAAATAATACATAATTTTGTCAGATATAATAGTTTGAAAATAAATTAATAAATTATTTATCTTAATATATTCATAAATAATATTTTGCCTTACTATAAACTATTAAAGATTTATAAAAATATTTAGTAAAGTAGCTAAACATTTTATTTGAATGATTTATTTTTATCATTTAAATTACATTATTCTATTAAAAGTATAGTATATAATCAATCCTAATCAATCAATAAAAATTAATATTTTATTATTAAATTTTTAATATATAGTTAGCCATCCTTGGTTTTTAATACATGCTTCAATCTGATATAACATATTTTTAATTAAATTAATATAATTTTCAAATATAATTTTTTTTATTTTTCTTACAATGCTTCTTTAAGTTTATAAAAATTCTTTAAATATACAGATTATTTTTAAAGTTTTCATTTAAGTTTATGCCACAAATATTTAATAGATTAAGATTTGGAAATTGAGAAGGCTAATCTGAAAGAATCTTAATCTTTTCTATATAATCCAATTTTAATATTTCTTGCAATATGAATAGAAGCATTATTATTCTGAAATGCATAAGGTAAAATTATTATATCACAAATTTGATTATTATTTATATTTATATTACCAAATTAGATATATATATTATAACATAAAACAAATAAGCATTTAAAACTAATGTATTTATTTAAAAAATATATTTTTTATTTAGTATATCTGATATTAAAAAAATAAGAAATGCTTAACCAGATACTTTTGATAAAATAGTGTATAAATATTATATATCTTTTAGGCTAAAATATAGGCATCATTGGGGGTTCTGGTGCAGATTGCCAAATAGACCTCCAAACCCCGCCTACGAATCAAATTTGCTATATGATTTCCAAT